CTATCTTGAAGAGTGATAAAATGCTAATATTAGAGAGAGAAATTTCATCTATCCTGAACAAAAGAGCCAAACTAAAATAATGAAATCCCTTGTCAATAGATGTTTAAATTTGTATCCAGGGATATCTTCTGACAAGGTGACTACAGATCACAAGGGCCTCCAAGGGAAAGTTGTTGCCTGAAGCACATGATGAAAAGACACATGACAAGTAGTGATAACAGAAATAGACCCAGATCGATGGCATGTGTTTCTGACTCTTGTCTATTTCAGCTTCTGAAACTGCAGAGTTTATAACGCATTATGTTCATGGGGAGAGTGGTTTAGAAAAGGAATCAAATAAGAACATTATTTGACTTAATATATTTCAGATGTCCTACTCCACTCACTACATTATAAAGACACATAAACCTTTAGTAAACAATCAAATTAGCCATTGTCTCACACTTGTTTCAGCAAATCAATTCAGTTTCTTTCCTTTTTGATACTGTTTCCTTAACCCGGGAACACACTGTCAGGCTCATTTTAGATCGTCTGCAATCTTCTCTAAGTGATTTTTTAAATTATTATTTGAGATTATCTTAATCTAGTAATCTGATCATTGTGGTTGGAAAAGGAGTCACTGCAACCCAACAGATCTTTAAATATGTCCATGCCAGGCACCAAGTCTCAGCCCATCAATAATCCCTGGTCTCATCTTATTACAAGAGGCTCTACAGCAATAACCATCAGTTAACCTGGAAAAAACAGAAATTTATCACTTATAAGACCTAGAAATTACACAGCACACCTGGGCCACAGTGAAGTGGCTGGGAAGAGAGACAGAGAGAGACAGAGACACACAGAGACAGAGAGATAGAGACAGTAAGAGAGACAGAGAGAGGGAGGGGAGATGAATCTGTAAAACAAGGAGGCTGAGTGGGGCTGGGGAGGCAGTCCAGCTCTTATCTAGGTGTTACTGGCACGCTTATTAGAACTAGCCTTCTTCGGGGTGGATGCCTCTTTGACAGGGTGCTTCAGCAATTAACGCTCAAGTCAAGTACTTGTATTACAAAACAGAAAGGTCAACGGTGGGAGCTTAAATACCGTTCAGAGAAAAAATTCTCAGTGTGCCAATGGCTCTGTAGCTATTCCCTTTCACCCATGTCTCGGGCAACTTAAGCAAAGGTGGTACAAAAGGCATTCTCTGCCCCATTGTCTAAGAAGGCAGACCTGGAATGAAACAGACTTCACAGGAAAAAAGACTCCAAGGAGACAGGAGGTGATCCTTGTCATTTAGAAGGAAGGACAGAAGCGGCTCATGCCTCGCATATCTGGTGACTCGGGAGAGCAGAGTTTATTGCTACATATAGACTATCAGCCTGGCTAAGGGAGCTAAGAGGAAATTCTGGCCACTCTACTACTTTCACCTGTTTGCAGTTCATGCAGTGTGTGACCATGAAGGACGCAGGAGCCTTGTATCGCTGTGATGCTGAGGCATGAGAAGCTGTGCACAGACATAAGACTCAAGTTAGCGGTGCCGAGGGGACCATCTCTCCACTGAATTCTCCTCAGGAGAGGCTTTTTGGCGATCATAACCTCAAACCTGTTTACTGACATTTGGGGCCAGTAATTCTTTCTTTCTTTCTTTTTTTAAAGATTTATATATTTATGCATACAAGAGCCAGGGTACAGACCAGAGATGCAGGGGGTAAGAGGACTCACCAAAGAGAGAGTGGGGAACAGAACAGGCAGACTGACTGAAATACACTGCTGAGAGGAGCAGCGGGCAAGACAGGAGAGGTCTGCTGTGCCGTGTGGGTTGATCCCTGGCCGGCTGGGGATTGAACTCATGCTGCAGAGGGTGCGGATTGCTTCATAGTGTGGTGCTTAACCCCTTGCACCACCAGGGAGGCCCCAGTAATTCTTTCTTGTAGGGAGCTGTGCTGTAAGCCACTGAATATTTAGCAGCATCCCTGGCCCTACCCAACAGATGCCAGCAGCAACCCTCTCCCTATCCCTCTGAAACAATCCAAAATGTCCCCAGCCACAGCCAAATGTCTCCCTGAGTGGAGAGTTTCCACTGGCTCAAAAATCGTTGGTTGAAAATTCATTGCTTTGACAATAATAATAACTGACATGTAGTGAGGCTGTACTACATAGCAAGTATTAATTTAAGCACTTTATTTTTATGTTTTTTTTTTGTTTTTTTTTTTTAAATTTATTTATTTTTTATTTATTTATACAAGTACTGGGTACAGTCAGAAGTGCGGGAGGGTGAGAGAATTCACCAGAGCCAGAGCGGGGAGCAGAGCAGGCAGAAGGACCGAAGTACACTGCTGAGGGGAGCAGCGGGCGGCTGGAGAGGTCTGCGCGCCATGTGGGACCCTCCTCCGGTGGCCGGGGAGCAGCCGGGGATCGAACCGGCGCTGCAGAGGCTGAGGGCAGCTTCGCAACCCAGTGCTCAACCGCTGCGCCACCGGGGAGGCCCTATTTTTATGTTTTGAATTGATCAAATGACTAAAAACATATGGAGTAGTGTACACACAAAAGAATACTTAATAAGTTATCAAACAAGGAACATCCATGCAACCACCAGCTATCTGGGGGAGACAAGAAACATTGTCATTTTCAGCAGCTTCCACTGGACCTCCTCCCAATCTCTACCACTGCTTGACACCCAAGGGAACCATTACATTCAACTCCCTTTTCTTACCTTGTAGTGTTACTACCTAAACTTGCATCTCTGAAACTATAGTTTATCTCTTTTACAACTTTTTGCAGGAATTTACTGGTGAATGTGTACTATCAAAAAAGAAAAAGACATTTGGGACTTAATTCAGGGAAAGGTACAGAGAAAACTATAAACAAGCAAACAAAGGCCGACTTTACCACGGAAAACAAATAGCAGGGCAAAATCAGCGTTTCAACACACTACCTGACTCAGTTGTAAATTACTTACTTTGTTATAGTGTAAACCCAAGAGCTGACCTGATGTCATGATATACCTGGAGTAGTAGTTCAGAGACATGGGCAGTGTGGTGAGGGGTTAGGAATACTGAAAGGGAGTTAAATTCTCTAAAGTTAGGAAGTTGATGGATAGTGCCTAACAGAAGAAAGTTATTTAAAAACAGGGCGGGGCCTCCCTGGTGGCTCAAGGGGTTAAGATGCAACCTATGAAGCTTCCACAGCCTCTGCAGCATGAGTTTGATCTCCTGGCCAGCCAAGGAGCAACCCACATGGTGCAGCAGACCTCTCCTGACTCGCCCGCCGCTCCTCTAGCAGTGTGCTCCGGTCGATCTGCCTGTTCTGTTTCCCACTCTGTCTCTGGTGAATCCTTTCACACACACCCCATGCCTCTGGCCTGTACCCCAGTTCTTGTATGCATAAATAAATAAATCTTTAAAAAATAAAAATAGGGTGGTAAACATCAACAGACACAAAAATGGTTGCCTCTTAGGAGTGAAAAACAAAGGCAGAACAATGGCTTGCTACTGTTCTTCATAGCAAACCTGGTAACACAGCTCAACGCTTTACAGCGTGTGCATGGAATAAACCTGTGATGAAAATGAGTACTTTGAAGAATGAGTTAAAAAGACTTCCTTTTGATGAAAGTGAACCCATGAGTCATGCTTGAAGCAGAACGAGCAGGAAATACTCGCATGTTCATAAACCAGGACTGAATGTAGCTTTTCCTGGATAACCATTTGCAATAAGGAAGGAGGTGGTTTGCAATGCTTCAAGAATGAAATAGAGAGGCAGCCTCTTCACCTCTCTCCATTCAAGTAAAGATTCAAGACCCGGAGTACTAGCCTATGGGAAAATGAAAGGCTCAAGAAAAAGCTCTGCCCAAAAGAAGATTCACCCATTTTCTGTTTTAATATAATCCTTAGTTCTGTGTCAGGAGAACCAACAAGATCTTAGTCATCATTTCAATTATTTCAGCCCTAAAGATTCTTTACACCCCAAATCTCCAGATCTTTTATTTTCCCAAGGTGGCGGGGGAGAGGGAGCAGAGTGAGCACAGACTTTTGGATCGGCTCTATTTTGGCTTGAATCCCAGTTCTACTCTTGATAGGTGTGTGATCTTGGTAAAATTACCTCAACTTTCTTAATCACAGCTTTGACACCTAAAAATAGAAGCATAATAGTGCTTTGCTACCTTTTACTTTGTTCAATGGCTCTCGAGATCAGAGATAATTTTTCTAAAGTCCTTGATACATAGTTGGTTCTCTAGTAAATTTGCTAATATGATAATTATTATTGCTGTTATAATTACAATAATAATCATTATTACTACTGCCACCCCAATGGTGTTATACCCAACTGTGACTTTAAACAGCAGCTGCTGCTTCCTTCGTCTCACTCCCCATTGACTCTGACCTTGTGGAAGCCTCTGGAATTATCCACACTATTTTTGCCAGCTGGGGTCAGGGTCTGTCTCACCTTGTGACCAGTAGCTTAATGTTACTTCCTAGAATATTGTGTACTTACTTTTTTTAGTTTTCTCACTCCCCCCTCTTAATGAACTTGGATAACCATTCCTGAGGGCTGGGTCAGCTGGCACATAGCTGATCCCATTGATTTACATATTAAACACTGAGCTACTACAATGAAGCCAACACTTTTCTTTGTGCAAAACATGCAAAGACAGAGAAGCCAAGGCCTCTGATATTTAGAGACTCAAGTATGGGAGAGATTAGTCAAGACCTAGGTCAGCATTTACCTGTGTTGTTCTCTAAAATCCACCAGTGGTTTCCAGGTTTCTTAGTGGGGCACTGTGTCTCCAAGATGGCCACAAGACAATCTCTCACCCCCCAACTGCTTTCTACAATATGACGCTGACATTCCTGCCATCAAGAGTTTGGGTCTATGTTCCCTCCCTTTAAATCTGGGTGGGTCTGTGACCTTGGAGAAAGCGTTGTTATGTGGCTTCCAAAACTAGGTCATAAAAGGTGATACATCTATGTGAAAACACACACACATGTGCATGCACAACCTCACATCCCTCTCCCCAAACTTACTGATTCAAAGCAGCAATGATCATTCTGTTCACGAATCTTCAATGTGAGCAGGACTTGAGGGGAACAGCTCATCTGGACTCTGCAGCATGGCGGCCTATGAAGAGGCAAGACTGGGCTGGCGGATCCACTTCCCAGCTGCTTCACTCACATGGCAGGCGATCTGGTACTGGGTGCCAGTGCTGCTCCGTGCGGCCTCTCAACGGCTTCCTCACAGACTGAGGGCCTTGCAATTTTACATAGCAGCTCAGGGCTCCAAAGGCAAGTCTCACACGAGAACAGGAAGCATGCTCCAGCCTCTGCAGCACCACTTCTGCTGCATTTTGTCCAGGCCTTCAGTCCACTTCTGCAGCATCCTGACACAGAGACCTGCACAGGTTCAAGGGAAAGAAGCATCAAGGGCTCTGTATCTCAACAGAGTATCAACAACATATCGTGAGGAGAGGGTGTGAAAAGGCAGCTAGAGTTGTGGGAAAACACATGTACCACACTCACAAGAGAAAGCACCTTCATTCTCTTTGAGGGGGAAGGGACTCCCTCTGCCTACATGACACCATTTTCCCTATGTGCCTGGGAGAATGCCAAGTGCCTGGGAATTGGTATTTACCCCACAGCCCTCAACTAGCTAATGGCAGGAGTAGGGGCATGAACACTCCAGCTCACGTGGCTTTTAATATGACCAACTTTGAGGTGTGACTTGCACACTTTCCAGAGCTTCTCTGTAGATAGAGCCAAAAGCAACCTCTGAGAATCTTCCTCAATCTAAGGTACTTCTTTGGATCCTTCCCATGTGAGCCCAGTTCCCCATTGTCCCGATGACTTTTCCTAAAAATACTTTCACATAAATTCTCATCTCAGAATCTTATTACATGATCCCATTTTAAGATGTTTTAGAAGTCTTGAAGGAAATTGGTCACTGTTCCCCAGAAACAGTGGTTATTATTTTCTTCAAATGACAAAACAACTTACACATACAGAAGTTAACAGAAATACATGTGGCAAAAAAGGGCTGCAATATTAGTTTTAGTCTGATCTCTGTATTTTTCCCTCCGCTCTCACTTCCAGTTCAAGAAAAAACCCCAGCCCCCTTGTACCTGGGGATTTTGCAAGGCAAAAAAACTGAAGTTTCTGGTGACCTGAGTGATGACACATAGTCGTCCCTCTGTGAAATCCCACACTCCTTGAGGAGATGTTACATGTCTTAGAAAAGAAAAGAAAGGGAAGAGGGGATATCTCTGAGGGCCCTGAAAGAGACTGTCTCATCTGGGAAACTAATGGAGGTTGTTGTCAGGACCTCAAAATTTGGAACTCCAGGATGACTCTTGTGGAAGGCCTTGAAGGAAAATTGTTTCATGAAGGACTTACGGCCTCACTGCCTGGGTCAAGAATTCTGGAGTCCCATCATATAAGGAGTAGGATTTCCTAAAAGTTGAGAGGCAAACTATAAACATGAAGTTTAAAAAAGAAAAGGATCAGCTGTAAGAGGGTGTGGTAAGCATCTAAATACAGAGGGAAAAGATTAGGAACTGGAGGTGCTCCCAGAGAACCTCTTAAAAGAGTCTGATTTTTCTGCATTTTCCATCAAAGATGGTAAAAAATCAAATGTAATCTAATTTAACATTTCTTTGATCAACTCTTCAGTAAAGTGTAGCAGCCCCATGCAACTTGAGTGTGATACTTTGAAGGTATTGTAATGGGGTAGAGTGGGTGGTGGTAAGGAATGTGCTATCTGCTCCACATTCATCCTTCTGAGGGACCCATAGTGAGGGAGCCTTGTCCCTTTGAGGGAGTTCTGTAAGAGCAAGAGACAACCCACGCCAATTAGCCATGATGCAGCTGGACGACTGTTAGCAGCTCGGAGGAGTCCACACTTGAGCACAGCACAGATTCAACAGAAATACAAGCACAAGCTGCCCCAGGATCTGCTGGCAAATGGAATGACACTGCTGCTGTGGTACCATCTCTATTATAGATACGATCTTAGCTCATTTTAAAAAATGATCTCCCCTAGAAATATAAGCAGTTCCTGCTAAGCCTTGAGAAATGCATTTCTAGTTCGAACGATGTATCTAACTTCAGCCAAACTTAAATATCTTAAGCAACTTTAGGTCCCTCAATCACTGGAACTCACTAAGATAAGAAGCTAGGGAGAGACCAATATAATGGAAATTAGAGTCAATATGCTGGGAAATACTAAAAATAACCTAGGTCATAAGGTTTGAAATAACCCTTAGACTCTTGAGAACAGAGAAAAGCTATTTAGAATACCTAGCCTATTTCCTACGAAGCTTTCAATTTCCCACTTGTAATTAAAACAATCTATAAACTATATTGCTCTGTCTTCTACCCCTATGAATAAAGATAATGTCCAATCCATATTACATGTTCCAAGCATCTATCAGATATAGAGGGACCTACTGGTCCTTAAAGAAGATATATGGGCCAACAATCTTTAGCTAATTGAAATAATGAACTGCCTTGGCTTGCTTATATCCTGAAAACACTACATTATACCATGATGTTTTTAATTCATTCTAAGAACTAACCCAAATCAAATTGCCAATCAACTGACTTATGAGAACAGTCTCCTTGAATAATGAAATTTGAGAACCTGAGTGGGGGAATGAGACAAGGAGCTTTCCCTGCCTGTCGTTGGATTCCTGCTCTCCTGTGGTCTCCCAGCTGGCAGTTGGCCCATTTGTCACCATCCTTCCCCGCCTGCCAGGGACAGCTGTGAAGACTGTGGGGTGGCTTCAGGCCCTGGCCTATTCATTCACAAAACTGACCGGAAACAGGACTGTCTCTCCCTAGAGTTGACAGAAAAATGTGTGTCCCTTCACTTCGGATACCCAGTGTTTAGTGTACTATAGACATGTAAGAGAATGCTGGATTAAAGGAAGGAAAAAGGGAGTGAAGGACAGAGAGATCAGTGATACACAGACTACACAACCAAAGACTTCTTCCACACGTCTTTGCCAAATCAAGGTCACCAGAGTTGCCACTCGAAGCCCCTGGTGAGGCTGTGGGAGCTGTGCTTCTGCCTTTGACCCTATTCCCATCACTCTGGTTTGCAGCATCATGTGAACATAGTCCCTGTTCAGTAGGCCATAAGCTGCTCTCTGGCCTCAACAGCAAAAGGCCTTATGACTCTTCTCTTGGGCACATAGTCCCTGGAATGGAAGCTGCCTCACCTGCCTTCCCCCCAACCCCCCAGAACAAATGAGATCTCCTGAGAGAAAGATAAAGGCTGACTGTAGGAAACACAGGCTCCTGGCCCTGTCGGACCTGGGCTCATGCAGAAAGACAAGATCAGCATCTACTGACTGATGCCATCTGTGACAGGACCAATGGAGAACTTACAAGGAGGGCACAGACACGGAGAAGTCAGGAAGATATTGGATCCTAGTGTAAGGTGCAGATGCTTCAGGGAGGCTTCTTAGCATTGCTCCAGGGACACCCAGGGAAAGAAATCTTTTAGCAACAATAAGGCTAAGGCCAAGATCTCACTTCCCTGGTCAAGCTTGAATCCCGCTGCTATAACATGGACCAAGTCACGGAATTCCTATGGACTGGTGAGCCAGGCCAAAGCATCAGGAGCTAGGCTATATATGTAATCTCTACCCAAAGTCAAGGAAGCATATCTTTTTCCTAAGAACAAGTGGGTCATTCCCAAAAGACTTGCCAAGCAGACCCAGAAAATGACTTATTCCTACAAGCTTGTCAACAATCAAGTTTTCTGTGGACAATGAAGACATTGCTGGTGGTATTTATAAAGCCCCCCTGCTTTTCCTATAAGAGGTAGACTGGGCCTTCTGCTCACAGTGTCCTCCATCTGCTTCTCCACCAAGAGAACTCCTACTCACCCTTCTACACCCAGATAAAATGTCCACTAGAAAAACTTCCCCAGTCTTTCCCCTACACACACACACACATATAAACACATACCCACATACACACACACACACCCCTTGACGTATCATAGACTTCACTGTCGACCCTATAATATCTCAATACTTAGTTTATAATTTGGTTAGTCAAACCACAAACAACTTGAAGAAATAGGCCTATCCCAAAAATGTTTAAATATATCTTCTTAGCCCATAATCAGATCTATATTATACAAATGAATGTTAGTGTCCAATGATGATCATGTGTATTATAATAAGAGTAACACACAGGTAGTTATTTCTTTTTGGCCCTCAAAACTAAGCAATACTCATTAGCTTTCATGGGAGGACTTATAGTGCCTTCCACAAGAAATGAGTAAGAAAAATAAGCCAGAGTAACATGAGGTGACGCAACCTCATATTTCCCCCCTTACTTTCCTGCTTAGACAATATTCCACTATAACTCACACAGAAGCTGCCCACACTTGCCAGAAATATAGATAGGAGAGCTAGAGATGACAGTGACATCAATGCTGAATTCTTAATTCAAAGTCAGTTTTCAAGCTTGAAATCCCATCTTCTGTCACTGCCATTTTGAAGATTAGAGACAGGGAAATGAAGGAATGTTCCGTCCAGCTGGGTGGGAGATAATGAGACAGCTAGTTCCTGCAGCATACTGACATTTGGTACCAATCTATCAATAGAGCTTCATTAGACACTGTGGGTAGAGCGGATGCTTAAGTGAATTTTCTCTGGTCTGGTCCTCACAGAAAGTAGCACAGTCTCTTTTCATGACAAAAATACTTCTAAGGAAAAAAGGACATGGATCATGGATGGGAACAAAGGGCAGTCCATGGAAACAGATAGAACCCCAATGGGGTGTGTTCCTCTAAGGCAGAGAGGTTAGCAAACATTTCTGTAAAAGTCTACATGTAAAATAGTTTCAGTTTTGTCGGACATAGGGTCTCGGACAACTACTCAACCCTGCCATTGTAGCGCCAAAGCAGCCAGAGACAATACAAAACTGAAAGGACTAGCTGTGTTCCAAGACAGCTTCACTTCAAACAGGCAACTAGCCCAAGTCTGCTGGCTCCTGCTTGACGCCAATGTCCCCCAAAGTATCTCACACATATGACCGAGAGCACTTGGGTATATTGGATGACACCACGTAACCAATATTCTAAACTTTAAGTTATGTTTGTGATTTAATGCTTACTAGAAACAAATACATAATTATCAAACACAACTTCATAATAATATTACTTATGATAAAGCTAAACTTTTTTATTTTTAAGTGAAAAGGTGAGTTAATTTCAAGAAAATAATAAGAGGTTAGTGTTAGTGCAACAGCCTTATAGGTGACATCTGAATAGCCTTTAAACCTTCCCCACTGACGCAGGACCTCAGTTCATCCCTGTGGTCACTATCACCATTTATACTGAGCCAAACAAAAGGCCAGTAAGAGGCCACTGCAGAGCTTTG